ATATTGGAATTCGCTAGTAAAATTCATAACTTTAAGCAAACCTTGACTAGTAATTCACCTAGTTAACCCTATCTATCACTTAATAATATTATGTGTTCCAGGGTCAATTTACCTTAAACTGAACCCTAAGTCTCTTTAATATAAATCCATCTAATATAAGTACGATAATATATGTAAGCATAGTTGTCATCTCAGTCGATAGCACTTATATGCTCCCTCCGTATTGAGGATACAAAAGAGTATCTTTATATAACAAGTAATAGTTACTCACCAAAATAACTAATATATAAATATAGATAAATAAGTTGCCTAAAGAAACTACTACTACATATAAACCAAAAGCAGCAAGCGTTCCTACTCTTCTTATCACCTATCTTCTTTCTACACAACCTCTTGGAACTACTTGCTCTTGCTATACAACATGGAAGTAAGAGTGAGATTCCGAAGAATCCCTATAGTAGTAATTTCCATTAAACAATTATGCAGATCACATAATACATGTAATACAAGCCAAAGTGGAACACAACCTTGGAAGTTATGCAGTTAAGCATTTATGCACAATTGATAGATAAATAAGCTGAGATATTTTATTGTGCAGATAATTTGGCAGAGGCTGCCCCATGTCTATCAGCTATACTCATAGGCCTGGCTAAAATAATCTATGCAAGGAAATAAGAATTACATGTTTTCATGCTTTAAAATAGCAATACGGCATAAACAGACATGGAACAATTATAACACAATTATAAGGTAGGAAAGAACAACTACTTCATTCGCTTCCTTCCAACTCAAACCTTACAAATTCCTTTTTAGTTCTCTCAGTGGGCTTGAGCAAAAATCAAAACCTATCATATTCATAAGGGTAGATTAATGCTTGGTCCAAATATAATTTATAAGTTAAATAACTTCCTTTAAATTCTAAATATCTTTAAATTCTACCCTTACTTAGTAGTTACTCATCTTGGAGAACTTTTTAGAGTCATAATTTGCCTTTTGAAATGTTTTTCCTTTTTTCCATAATCCTAATCACTTGTCCTTCTTAGTGACTAGTCATGTTAGTGAAAAACATTATATTTATCCATTATATTTGAGGACAAATAATGAACCCCCCCCCCCAAACCTACACATTTAGTCTTATTGAAATCAAATAAAATAAAATTCGAACCTACTTCTTTCACCACCTTGGCCAAGACACTCACATCTACATAGTTAAATAATCTTAAACATTTATAATAACTTATATAATCTAGTACTGTGAGAATTCAAATACTTAACGTATTATTCTATTTCATACATTACCTCATAACTTATTTTCCATAGCTAACTAAACATCATTCTTAATCTCTTTAACCCTGCACAACCTTTCAATTAAATTCTAAAACTCCTATGAGTTTCTTTATTCAATTACAACACTTAACTTGATCTGCTTTCAAATCAATTCAACTATTTTCTATCAATGGCAATACTCAATATTTCACACTCATTAATTCATCTAACCATATATCAACTATATGACTTCTTTGCTAACTCATTTAAGAACTTGACATCTTCCCCCCAATGAGCAACCATTTAATGATTAAATCTGGAAATTTTCTCTAGATTTAAATTAATCCCCCTTTAACATTATAACTATTAATCTATCCACTTTCTTTGAATCCTTAAACACATCTTTAACCATCCACATTAAATCAAACTATCTTTCTTGTAAGTTCTAAAACAACGTAAGGCATTTAATATGAAATTTTCCAAATTTAATTACCTTTTTTATTCTCAATGCAAATTCATTCTTAATCTGCTCTTAAATCCTCCAACAATAATTTCAATCCCATTTGCAATATCTTTTCTAGTACTTAGTATCCAAATAGATGCTTAAATCATCTATGCTTTTCCAATCCTATCTTCCTCAAATTCCAACAATTATTTTCCTTCTTAAAATAAAATTTCAGATTCAACTCTCATTATCCTATATTCAATTTTATTTCTCCAACTCACCCTAAGGCACCTTTAATCATTTCCCATCAAACTTTATTTTAATTTATCAAGTTCCTATTACGCAAGCTCTCACTACTACAAATGAGGTCATTTTCATCTCTCATTTTTGTCTGTTTTTCAAAACAGAGGAAAAAAGGTCACTATACTCGTCTGTTATGGTAGAACAAACAAATGTGTACACACATACTCGTTTGTTAGAGCGTGACAAACAAGTTTGTGTGTACATATTTGTCTGTTCTACATACTCGTCTGTTATGCTCTAACACATGAGTATGTTTGTACACACATACTCGTTTGTTTTGTTATGCTGTAATAGACGAGTGTGTAGATATATACTTGTCTGTTAAGTAACATACAAAAACTTCTTTTCTTTAAATTTTGAATTTTTAGAATGCAACGCCATTTTTTTATCAGATCAAAGTGAACCGTAGTAGCAATTTCTCTTTTTCTCCTCTTTTCCTTTACTGCAAACTTCCTCTTCTCCCTCTTCCTCTCTTCTCATGTGACAACTAGTATTCTTCTATCTTCTCCTTCTTAACTGAAGATAGCTCATCCTCTCTTCTCTTTCTTAGTGATGCAACAACTCGATGACACAGTAAACTTCATGGCCAACCTCTCTTCTCAATGGTGGATAGCTTCTCCTCTTTTCTCTTGTATGCTTGACAATACTCTTTCCTTCTTTTTCTATGGCTTTAGCTTTGCAAGAAGCAAGGTAAGCTATGTGGTTTGGTGTTAAATGTTTTGTTTATGTGGGACTATTATATGGGTGTTGAAAGTGATTGTTTAGGTATTTTGGTGCTGACAATTTTCTATTTAAATTAATTGTTGGTGAATAATAGCTTTTGGAAAGCAATGATAGTAATTGGGAAAGTATATTAAGATTAAAAGCATATTAAACTTGCTTAAATATTAACGCATATAAGGTGTTTGTGAAAATGTCCAGTAGAGAAAATTTGTTGGAATATGATAATTAATTAGGTTTCCCTAATGTTTAATCTCCATGTTAAATTTTAGAAAGGTATAGGATTCTAAAAGTTAAAATATCTATTTAAACAAGTTACGATGTCATTAGATTTTCTAATTTTAAACTTTCTTGTGTTATATAATTGAGTTAAGGTGTTTAATTTTTTTTCCTTAACTAAGTTAATTTAGATGTTATTGTTGTCATTTGCTTTGACCCTTAAAATTGAGATTTGTATGGAAAGTGTAACATGAATTGGTTCTGCTGAATTGCTGTCATTGTTACTCTATTTTGGTTTTGCTTCATACACTTTATAATTGCAGGTCATAGTAAAAACTGACAATGCAAATAATTTCACTTTTTTTTTAAAAAAAAAGTCACTATATTCGTCTGTTTGAGCAAAACAGAGGAATATGTAAAACACATATTCGTCTGTTTTCCTCAACAGACGAATATTTAACTTCTATCTACGTCTCCTTTATCCATGTTCCCCTTTAAACAAACGAAAAAAGTCCTCTAAAATAGATGAAAATGGGCTTTTTTGTAGTAGTGTATTTAGGTTAAATATCCGTTAATCTTGCTAGTATTACTATCCTCTAGGTTGATTAGTGCCGTGTATATTTTCTTAAAAAAATCAGCTTTCAATTTGCCTTTAGATCTCAAATATGATTTAGGCACTTAGGACTATTGTCTAGCTTGGAAGGGTATTAAAACACCTTCACAATCATTTCCCTTTCATCCATAAACTTCTCACGGTCCTTGAAATTCTTGAAAATTTTCCAGCTTCCAACTTAAATTTCAACACGCCAAGCCCCGACACACACATAAAAGAAAGGAAAAACAAAACAGGGCAGCGACACACACATTTTAAACCAAACAAACCCCCTATTTAATGATGGAAAAACCAGAATAATTCCAAAAGCACTCAACTTTCCTTAGTAGCAGAAATTTCCAGATTCAAATCCTCTTCATCTCAAATAAAACTCAACATGCAATCTAATAAACATAAGTATACACATGCTCTCCTTCAAACACCCACAACCCAACAACTTAGAGAAACAGGGACATTGGATTAAAAAAGACGTAACAGAAACAAACCAACACACATGCAACACTGAAATTCAATTATTTGATCAAGATTCAAACTACAACTTCCAACCATTGTCCTTCGGTTCACGGCTGTCTTTTACAACTCAGATTTTTAATCTACTATCCACTCTCCAACAACGCATAAAATGGAATAAAGAAGGGTAGGAAGATTTTAAAGAGCCTTACCTTACACATTGTCACCGCATGCATGTGAGTTCTAAGGTCCCTTCTACTTCTCCGATCAACCTCCTCCTCTTCGACCACGCTTTTTCTCTCAACTCTCTCTGGTTCAGTGTGTCAAAATGGGGACGGAGATGCCTCCTGATGGTTAATAAGAGTGGAGCAGCACGTGAGAGTAGTGTGAGGTAAAATGGCGGACCATTTTACCCCGCTGTCCTTACTTTCAATTTCATCCCTTTCTCTATTTTTCTTAAATAACCAAATACTTTCAGAAATTATTCTTTAGTATTTTTGATAAATTTTCTTCCTCCATTAACTTCTTTGACCAATTAAATAATTTCTCTAAAAATTTTGGATCGAAAATTAACTCCTAACTATTTTTCTTGAATTTTTTTTAAAAAAATAGTCCTTAATTCCATAAATTAATTCTTAATTCATTTCAAGGATTTTATACCTCCATTGGCTTCTTCATCTCATAAAATAATTATCCTAAAAATCCCAACTAAAAAAAAAATCCTCTTGCTTTTTTTTCCTTGAATTTTCAAGAGAATAGGCATTTTTAATTCCCCAAAATTAACTTTAAAATTATTTAAGCCACTTTTAGGGGATAAATTTTTTTCTAAAATTCTTAGTCTCCAAAATTATTACTTCATGATTTTTTCCAATTTTCATAGGCATTTAATAATTTTGATAATTTTTTTTCCTGATTGTCTTGAAGTCTGAAAAATTCAAGATGCTACAATATCTCTTTTAAATGTCTTATCAACATTTTCATTAGGGAACACTACCAGATGGGAAGGGAATTGCTATGAAAAGGCTGTCTCAAACTTCAGGTCAAGGTTCTCAGGAGTTCATGAATGAAGTGATATTCATAGCAAAATTGCAGCATAGAAATCTTGTTAGTCTCTTGGGTTGTTGCATGGAGGAAAATGAAAAACTACTTGTATATGAGTATATGCCAAATTCTAGCCTTGGCTCACACCTTTTCAGTATGATTTCTAAACTCTCTATCTCTTCCATGTTTAATTTTATATGGCAACAACCATTAATGTATATGACATATTTGTGAGAGCATGAGTTCCCTATCTAAATCAGAGTACTAGTTATAAAATTTGTAGAGTACTAGTACTTCTTTTACATAAAAATTAATTAGATCTTTCTCACTAATAGAAGTTTCAAATAGGACTTTTTACGAATTTTTCTCATATTATATGGGTCGATTAGAAGACTAAGGGGAAAAATAATCATAATATCATTTTAATCTCAATGTAAGATTATGTAAGAAAGTAATGTCACTAACTTGAACATTCTTCTCTAAGTTATAGATTGTTGTACGTGTCATTCAAGCCACACCTTACATCTAGGTTAATGAATGGTCAGAATGTTGTTGCATATCTTAGATGTAAGATGATAGTCAAAGAATTCAACCTTTGCATGGTAATAAATAACACACCTTTACATATAATGATTTAATTATTATCTAAATCAACGTAGAATTTCAAATAATCTAATATTTTTCAAAGAAAATCATGCAAAGATACAAGAAGTGAATCTTGATTAGGTCAATGAATGGTCAGAACATCATTGCATATCTTAGATATAAGATGATAGTTAAAGAATTCAGCCTTTTGCATGGTAATAAAATAACACACCTTTAAATATAATGATTTAGTTATTATCTAAATCAATGTAGAATTTCAAATAATCTAATAGTTTTTAAAGCAAATCATGCAGAGACACAAGAAGTGAATCTTAATTATCTCAACCACATCATGCGAAGATTGTTATTGATTAGTGATAGTATTCTATCGTTAAATTGATTAGTGATGAATGTCACTAATTTATTATTTTTTATAATGCATTTAAATCATGAAATGAGTGAGCAAGCCTTTCAACTAGAGCTAACATCCTAAAATGATAAACTTATGTGCTTGCAAAGTGAAAAGAAGCCAAATAACCTTTACTAATACCCTACAACAGTAAATCTTAATTGCAAGTCACAAGAAGAGCATAAGCAATTATAGCAGACTTGAAGCCCAACACTACTTGCATTAGAGTTCAAAATAACCCTTCTATGATGTCTCAATTGTCACCAAATGGTAGAACAAAGGTTTCTAAAATTATGAGCTCACATCAAAGAATTATAATATACCACATAAATTCAACTACCCTCTCTCTATTTATATATCAAAGAATTATATAATTACCAATAATTATTTGTTAGCATTCAACTACCCTCTCTCTATTTAAGTTAAATGTGTAACTTATTAATCTAGGATTCTAAATTAGTTAAGAGTATCCATACTACAAGCATGAATTCTAATCACATTATCAATTGATACCTTAGATGATTAATTAACTGCACTGACTAATGTCAATTCTCTGGCTTTCATTAGTACTTCAAAATCAACCCACATTGAAAAGAAATAATTAGATTTCTTTAGATTTCTTTATGTTATTACACTTAGTAATATCCTTATTTTATATAACATAGAACTATTTCATAGCCAAATTTAGACACAAATAAGTGATAGCAATATATTTTTGTTACAATTTTTGTTGTTTTGTTATCACTTATGCAACAAAATTGAATCTCTTTGAAAATAACTAACCGTTTTTATTTTTCATCTTATGTGATCTTATCAAAAAAATTTTCATCAGATGAAGAAAATAGAAAGAACCTAGATTGGAAGCAAAGACGAAATATTATTAATGGAATTGCAAAAGGACTTTTGTATCTTTGTGAAGACTCTCGACTTAGAGTAATTCATAGAGATTTGAAAGCCAGCAATGTCCTTTTGGATTATGAGATGAACCCTAAAATTTCAGATTTTGGAATGGCAAGGACCTTTGAAGGAGCACAAAATCAACAAAATACAAGACGAATAATGGGTACATAGTAAGTGTTAGATATAATTCAATCATTTTCATTTTTCTTTTTACTTTGAAATGTGTATTTAAATTATTTAAAAAAGGTTTGTTCATGGATAACTCAACTTATGGATTGATTGAAAATAGTGGTTACATGGCTCCGGAATATGCTATGGAAGGACTATTTTCAGTGAAATCAGATGTTTTTAGTTTTGGAGTTCTTCTCCTAGAAATTATATGTGGGAATAGGATTAGTGGTTTCTATCTCTCTGAACATGGTCAAAGTCTTCTATGTTATGTAAGTTATTTTTTTAATGTTATCTCATCAAAAAGTTTTGATTGTATAGCAATAACCCAATTTATTTGTATTTGCTTACAGGCTTGGAATTTGTGGTATGAAGGAAAATGTTTGGAATTGATGGACCCAATGCTAGAAAATTCATATATTGCAAATGATATTTTGAAGTGCATACATATTAGTTTGCTTTGTGTTCAAGAAGACGCAGTAGATAGGCCAACCATGTCTACTGTTATCGTCATGCTTGCAAGTGACACAATGACTTTTCCTAGACCTAATCGTCCTGCATTTTCAGTTGGAAGAATGGTCTTAGAAGATTTATCCACTTCAAATATTTCCAAAGATGCTTCTATTAATATGGTAACCTTGTCTCACATCAAACCCAGGTAATAAAACTAATTTGATTAGATGATTATATGAATCATCTATATAGCAAGTTCTCAATCTAGTAGGAAGAGAGACATAGAAAATGGTGAGACCCACTTGATAAGTTAATTAGATTAATTTCTTTATCTTCTTAACTAGCCATGAAGATCAAATGGCAAGATAATGCTTCTAGGTTATGACATATAAGAGAAATTCACATTGCCCCATCCCAGCTATAGGTATTTGATAAACTATATTGTTTGTAGAGATTTGGACTAAATCATACCATCAAAATGTTGCAAATTCTCATCCTTTCCAGAGAGAAGGCTTTCATATACATTGTTTAAAATTTAATCTTTGTGTGTACACATAATTGATATTATCTATATATATTTGACTTGTTATGTTGAATAATTAACTAGTTGTAAATTCTATTGAATACTTATTCATTTCTATGATTTGTATATTCATCATTGTGAATAAAACTCTTTATATTCTATTCAAATCTTTGTTAATAAGTAATTGAGTTTTATGAAAAATACCTTACACTAGAGTCTCATACTAGAATTTCAATGTCAATGAAAAGATTGTGAAGAAGAGTTTTCAATGTCAATGAAAATATCCTCAATAGAACCTAAGCTGTTTGTTAACTCCATATCTTTAAAACTTGAGCTTGTTTGTGATAGAACAACTAAATGTCTTGTCTAATCACTTATATCTTAGGGGTAAATTCAAAATTTAAAAGCAAAGATTATACTATAGACATAACCTTAGGCCGTTTTCTCGTTAAAGCCTTAATTTATTGATTCTAAGTTAACTAAATGCCAAGAAAATATGATTTGACCAGGGAAAGATTAGAGGTTTTTATTAAAACTATGAAATTAAAAAAATGCAAAGTAAAATATATTTTTTGATTTTTAGGGAAATAAGTGAAATGGATAGAAAACAAGCTGAAAGTAATTAATGAAATCTCTTGAAAATAGATCTTTGACAATCATAGTTCAAAATGATTTTGGTAGTGAAAATCAATAAATTTTTTAAATGAAAAACTTTAAAGCACCCTTTAAGTCTATGATCTTAATCAATGATCACCTATCTCATAAAATCCTATTAAACTCACTCAGCGTGTATATTAGGATTAATTAATACAGTTGGCTCAGTGCAAACCAAAATCAAGTTAATATTCACACAATACCATATAGAAAATGAAGAATCGAAAGAGTAGTTGCGTTGAAACATATATGTAACAACATATATTAAAGCTCAAATTCAACAATAACCAATCTAATACTATGTTAATCATCCAACAAATATTACAACCACAATAAGAGTAGTTCAGTCACCAAATTACAACCTCTATGACCTAGAAAATCATAATAAAATAGCTAGAACTAAGGATGAAACCACACTTCCCTTTGTGGCTCTTGGAACTCATGCCAATCAACCTATCTTTAAGAGAGCAAAGACTTAGCTATGCAGCTCCTACATCACAACTGGACTACAACATCTCCATAGCCATGGGTGGAAACAAAGGAAAATTAGAAGAAGAATAGAAGATATGGTGAACTATGATGAGTGAGAGTGAAAAAGATGAGCAAACTGAATGGGAGAAGAGACGAATGAGTAATGGAAGCTAGTTTTTTTTATTCTGAGTGCTAAGCGCTTTGTTCTGTCAAGTTTGGGTTAGGTTCTATAACATCCCAAACTTGGGCTAAGAATTTCAAGAATAAGCTACCAAGCCCCTTTAAGTAGAAGTTCCAAAAATGTCATCAAAAGTTGGAATGATCTTCAGGGAGTAAATTGCAAAGTGAAAGTTTCTAAGGGAAAGAAAGAATAAAGTTCACATGCATCATATGCAGCAATGACTAAGTGGAGTAATTGCATTGGGCCAAAAATAGAGGCAAAGGTGTTGGAGCATGTGCATTTCAGCAGGTATATGCATTGTGAGAATTATGGAGGGGGAAGAATATGCGTGCACACATCACATGGAGACCAAAGAGTGGACCTTGGCCTACACCAATGCAACTGTGAAGCTTGGCAGATGTCAGAGATTCCATGCTCATATGCCTATTCAGCGATTAAGACCATAGGGGGAAATGTTTATGATTACGTTGAAGAGTGTTACAAACGTTCATTCCAAGAGAAAATCTATGCCCGGAGCATGGTTCCAGTGGTGACAATTGATATTCTTGACCTGAATAACTATAGGTTTGAGAATCTTGCTGCCCAAACCTTGCTTTTACCTCCAATCACTGCTAGGCCTCTTGGAAGACCAAGAAGAAACAAAACAGAATCACAATTCCAAAACAAAAAATATATCATTGTACTAGATGTCTTCATCTTGGATATATAAAGAGGACATGTAAAAATCCTAATCCAAGTTGACTTCCACTTATAAATGGGACAACTAATTTTTTTAGCACATATAGGGTCCACCCTTCTTAATTTTTTTAGGAGTAGGGTGTTGGTAGATGTGCACATATATTTTTTGTTAGTTCTATGTTTGGTGACAAAAGGACATTAAGTGGAAGATGCAAGTTAATGTGCACTTGTCATTAAATGTTGTAAAGAACTTGTTGCTGTGAAAGAAATTTGAACTTGTTAGTTCTTGTTATTTTGCAAAGTTAAGTTGTCATTTGCTTTTGTGGACTTATGATTTTGTGTTTATCAGGAGTGGTTGCTGTCAAAAATATGCAAAGTGTAATTCTGTGTTTATCACAGGTGGTTGCTGTCAGAAAAGGAAATGTGTGAAAACCTTATAGGAACTTGTCATTTTCCATAATAAACTTGTCATTTGGCTTTGTCAAGTTGTAATTATGTGTTTATCAGAAGTGGTTGCTGTCAGAAATGTGCAAAGTGTAATCCTAGCAGAGAAAGCATGAAAATATATCAAAACCTTATGGGAACTTGTCATTTGTCAAGTTGTAATTTCGTGTTTATCAATAGTGGAAATCCAGTCATTTCAACAGAAATTTTCCGTTTCATGAAAACCTTATAGGAACTTGTCATTTGCCATTGTGAAATTTTTTGTTTCATGAAAGCCTTATCGGAACTTGTCATTTGCATTAGTCAATTTCCTTAGTGAACTTGTCATTTCATGTTTATCATAAGCGGAAATCCACTCATTTCAACAGAAAATTTCTGTTTCATGAAAACCTTATCGGAACTTATCATTTGCGTTAGTCAACTTGTCAATTTTCTTAGTGAACTTGTCATTCCATGTTTATCAGAAGTGAAAATCCACTCATTTCAACAGAAATTTTCTATTTCATGAAAACTTTATCGGAACTTATCATTTGCGTTAGTCAACTTGTCAATTTTCTTAGTGAACTTGTCATTTGTGTTAGGTCATTCCGTATTTATTAGAAGTGGAAATCCACTCATTTCAATAGAAATTTTCCATTTCATAAAAACATCTTGGGAACTACTCATTTGCCATTGTGAACTTGTCATTTTCCTTTGTCAACCTGTCATTCAGTGAATCAATGTGCAAATTGAGCCACTTTTAATATAGAATCTCAAATTTGTATGAAAACCCTTTCACAAGTTGTCATAGCCCATAGTAAACTTGTTACTGGACCTAGTAAACTTGTCATTGGCCTGACTAAAGGAAAATTTGTCATTCCAAATATAAGTACTATTATATCATCAATCCAACTATATCATAACCATTACAATAATTGGCATACAATTTCAACAAATGAATCCATTGACAAAGTAAGTAAAAGTCACACAACCTAATTTAAATGCTCTCTACAAAGACATTCTCCTTCTCTTAGTCATTCAGCCCTTCTCTAGTTGTGAGATAAGACTGTACACATTCTAACGGCATTCATTGTCATCATGGTTCACCAGCCACCACATCAACTCACACCGAAAAGAGGACACATCAGCCTGCATAGTAAGTTTACCACCCAACAAGTCACAGATGGTAACTATTGATTGCATAATAAATAAGGTCATGTCATTATCTCATGGTATTGAAAGCGAACATCAGGCTCCCATTTCCTGAGCCATATGAGCACATACACATCACAGTCCCTCCTGCCCATAACACCACCATAACAGTTTTAGCTCCTCAAACCAACACAGTCAAATAACTTATCACATGAGTAGGGTGTATACACTCAAATTATTCTACTATGGTATATCAGACCGGACAATTTCCAACTTATCAATCAAATCTGGTCTAACATCCGAAGTATGTCTTCAAACCGGTCCCTCTGCACATATGCCATATTCATCAAAAGGATAATAATATAAAATTGTCATTTCCCTATCTAACATGCACAGGTTAGGAACATCTTATACTGCCTATGATGGCCAATTCTTGAGGGTCATATGTTGTTGCCTTCTTCTGCTTGGAGGTGGTCTTCTTACGCTCTAAACTTGCTCGCATAGAATTGAGGACATTGAACTTTCGGGTCTTTGGTTCGAAAGCAAAACAGAACCAATGCTCCCCAACTAGAGCAGGACCCAGAATCAAGTTGCAGTTACCTATGTTATAGCTAATGTAATGCGAAAGTATTTGTCATGCATGTTGGTTAGGATCCCAACGAGCTGGATCACGGATCATTATGGCCTGTGAAATGCACAAAACCAAGTTGTTATTCATTGTAACACACTTAATTCTGTCATTTCCATTTGCAATCTTGTAAATCAACAAAGTACATTAGTAATACAGAAACCTCACCATGAAATATGCATCAAATATATCCCTCCTAACTCACCTTTCAACTGCCTGCTACTCTTGCACCAAAGCCTTATAGACCAATGACATCACCCGGTTACTCATCCTGTTATTTCCACCAAGCGAATGCAGCAATTGTCGGAGGATGTCTTTATTGAATTATGATCAAAGGACTGAAACATATTCAAGTGAGTTACTAGATGTGTTATGTTAACATGTAGTTAACAAACAACATCACATAAGCTAAGATTTTCACTTACATCTCACCCTCATCACCTTTAATAGCTCGACTGACTAAGTTGAAAAAAAAATATCCTTAGGCTCTATAGGCCTC